CAGCCGACATTGGCTGGCAGATGGAATCCAGAGAAGGCCTAGTCTGTGCGATCGAATCGGTCTTTGGGAGGTAATTGGCAGGAGGCGGTCCTGCTTGGAAAGTGTACATATATACAAGAGACATTGTATTGTCATTCAAAATGCAGCTGTTTTTTCTGGTTATATCTTTTTATTTTTTTATTTTTTACAATTTTTGCAAATTGGGGATTGCTAGGGAGAGAGGGCTGCTTTCAAAAGCAATGCCCCACTCAGGTTTTCTTTAGTGTGGGAAATGGTGCTGGTACATAGTTATTTCCACAGTTACAAAAAAGATCTTCTGGGTCTCTTTGCACTGATGGCCAGTGGTTAGCCAGTTGCATTCTCTAACTGAATCATTTAAAGTGTTTTGACAGTAAATGCACCCTAATTACAAAGTACTGCTGAATAATACAACCTTCCATTGATTTTTCAGAAGAGGTTTGGGGCGTGTGCAAACAATTTTGGAAGTCCTCAGCCCATGCAGAATTAGATTCCTATTTAACCCTTTGCACAGTGTTAAAAGAAACGGGGTAGGCTTGGCTAGTCTTTTGAAATGAAAATGTTTTATTTTTTTCCAGGTGGATGTTCCCATTAATAATGTATTTTCTTTTAAATTGTACTTTCCCAGTCTCCCCTGCCCCTGGAGCCCGTCCAGCATCCTGGAGCTACTTCCCCCCTTGTATGTTTTCATTTACTCTTTTTCTGCTCATGCCATGATTTTTCTTATTCTCAGCTGAATTTGTAATTGCATTCACATGCAACGGTAAACCAGAATGTTTGTTAGCTCCCATTTGAGCCCTCAAGGACAAATTCTGTCTTAAGGGTGGGGGTTTTTTTGGTCATCGTTTGTAAACCACAAACTATGCCATTATCCTTTCTGAACAATACAAAACCAGACATCAGAATTTATTCTTACCTTTTTTTTTCTTCGAGAATATCACAACAAACAGACCATGGAAAAATGCTGTCTGAGATGATGTGAAAATGATCTAGCAGGATATTTGCGTTTGTTGTTTAATCCTGAAAAAAATCAGAATTCTGGTATACTGTTGTATATTAATGTACTCAGTATCTGAGGAATGTGCAGTGACTTTTCACTGTGATTTCCTTGTACATTTCTTTCTTTCACAATATGCATTAAAATGAAATCTGCAACAGAAGATAAATAAGGAGAAAAATGAGCTTGAGACTAATTTTTAGGAGTAACTAAAAAATTTGGAGTAACTAAAATTGCCAACTATTTATTTTATACAAGTAGCATTATAATGTAAAATCATATCCCAGAGTAAAAATATTGCATAATCCTAAAAGTATATGCTTTGGAAAAATGTTGCTTTTCCTATACAATTACATAAGGGTTGTTTTTTTTTTTGGGTGTACACAGACATGAGTGTTTTCTACAATCAATTCCTAGAATACATTTTTGAATTGCATGCAATCAGAGAATGGGAATTACCTAAGCATAACTTAGTATAGTATTAATAATTTTCATCACAACCGATAATACTTGTCTTCATTGTGAGAGTTTTTAGCACATCAGCTTTGTCCTACAAAGCAACCTATCACGAAAAGAAAGCATGGCAATAAGATCATATCTTTTAATACTATTTATATTTTATATTGGAGACATATTATACTCCAAAATTGCAGCAGGAAAGGGTACAGAACAAGGAATGACAAAATATGCTGCCATCCAGACTCCAAAGTGTATCTGGAAGGGTGCAGCTTCTTTCTCTCACTTCATTTGGAGAAAAACTACCCTGTTTCGCTGAAAATAAGATCTCCCCGGATAATAAGCCCAGTGGGCTTTTGAACGCATGTGCTGAAATAAGCCCTCCCCCAAAATATTGCAACACAGCAGCAGCCATGAGGTGACCACGTTCGCCACCTCTTGCACCTCAAAAATAAGACCTCTCCGAAAATAAGGCCAAGCGCTTATTTCGGGGTTCAAAAGAAAATAAGACCCTGTCTTATTTTTGGGGGAAACAGGATACATGGGTGTGAGATATGCTTTAGAGAAATTTAATTTGGGGAAAAAAGACAGTGGAAATTGCAGCTTGCTGTTCTTTCTTGTGATATGATATAATATTAGGAAAAAAATATAAAGTATATCTGACTTTCTGGCTTGCATCACAACGTGGAGGACCACACGCTGCATTTTCCTTCCTTCATCAGACAGATAAATGTGCTTGCCATTCTCTGATATCAGAGCATATGGCCCGAAAAATATTTTTCGTGTGTGTTCCATACTAGACATCCCCAGCAGCAATATTTGTTCAATGAGTCTGTCAGTTTCATCATCACCTACTTGGAGCATATGCTGTCAATTTGGTTCAGTATACTATTAATAAAACAAAACCATGGAAACCATACTATTAATAAAACAAAACCATGGCAGCGGAGAAATCGGTAGGTTATTCTAAAAGGCCCCGGCAGGTGGTACACAGACACCCAACATGTGATTGATTAACTGAACTACCTTTGCTGACGCTTTCCGCCCCCAACTGTTAATATGCTCTGTAAGGGTTGCAGTAAAAATATAATGCAATACCTTTTAGCCCTAGAAATGGACCCATTTAAACCAATCTATTGGTTTCTTTAAGTTATAATTGAATTTTTCACATTAAACAAAATCTTAGCAGATGTTAATAAGAATAGTTTGGACAAACTTGGAATTGCCATGCTTTCAGGGACAAAAGAGTAAATTCTAATCAGAGGCCACGCTTGATTCATATTTCACTTTTTAGAATGTAACCGAGCAGACATTTGAAATGAGAATTTCAATGCCTTTGAAAATCAAGGTCCTTTTGTTTTAATCTTCAATGTAAGTCTGTCCATTTCTGCACAGTCCAATATCTTCTTAATTATCTCTTAAATGGAAAGTAGATAGAGGATATCACCAAACATGGGAATTTATTTTATCACTGGCTGGAAAAAAGGGGTAAAGATAATAATAACTTATTTCATTAATTATAATTAGATAATTAAATATCATAATTTGCAAATGCTACAATTTGTATTGTTAAGCAAACAAAACAAACAAAACATGATGTTTTGTTAAACACTAATTCAATGTAATAGTACAAACATTAATGAAACTTTATAAAAAAAGAAAAGAAAATCAAGGTGCTCATATCCATCGTTAAAAATAATAACTTTTTTATCCTATTTTGCTCCATATTCCACCCTCCACAACTGCATCCAGATTTGGAGATGGATAGTAATGGTTCAGCATCTATTTCAAAGCCTCTGAACCAATCCCAACTGAGCTCAGGTAGAATGGATTGTAGTTGATACAGTTTATAAACGGACTAACCCACAGTCTAACTCTGTACGTTGTAGTAATAATGCCAACTAACGATTACTTGAGCTTGTTTTAACTCTTTGTTTGTAACAAGGTAGACGATAGTTCCAATTATACCCACAGGTTTGTCTTCTAAAAGCTAAAAAAAATCTTTATTGCTATATGTGTATGTACAAATATTTATGCTGATGGATGGATGTAATGCCAAAGAAATCAATGAGGTAACTATAATTAAGAGTCATGTCCCCTCCTCCCCCCCAGAATTCTTGTCTGGGATGTATGTCTTACAATGTCTGACAAATTGGGATCCATCCATTTGTGTCAACATCAGTTGTTTTTACCAAATTTAACCTAATTCCTATTTTTAGAGCTTTCATACACATTTCATGTACATTGCTGCTATTTCTAATTAAGTACGAGGGAAGGGTGTAGAAAAAAAAACAGAGAACAAAGGCTAAATGTTGAAATCACATTTTTAAAAAGCTGAACAGCCATATTATATACAAAGCTGTCAAGGTATAACTAGAAACAGCTATGCTAGAGTTGTCATAGCTACACTGCAAGAGCCTCAGATGAGGTACATTTATTGGGATAAAATAGAATATGCCAATGTGGTTAGTATATGTTGGGTAATGTCCCTTCATTAAAATGGTTATTTTAACAGTTGTTGCCTTTTGTGAGTCACACTGTTTGTCCTCATAGCCTAGAGAATGTAGGCTGGATGTTACTAATTGAGCCCGGGAGTCTATAGACAGGGGGCATCATATATTTTTCTAAGAAGGAGGCTCGGGAAGTCAGAAAACCCAAATTAATGTTTATGTGCAAAACTACAGGTAGAAAACTATGCCAGCTTTGGTCCTCATAGCTAAGATCTATTCCTCTGACTAGAAATAGGAAAGGTAATAGCGAATTCCTTGCAATGAACAAACAATTCATAACCACTCTAAAATCTAGCTTCTTTGTTAGAGGGCTAGCAAGGGCTTTTATAAAGAGGCTAAACATTAAATGTTCGCTAAATGAATCCTCCTCCTTCCCACAGGAAGCCAATAGTAAATTATATTTCTGTGAATTGAAGCAGTTAGTCTAAGAATATGGAATGAGTGACAAAAAGTAGGGTAATAGTACAATTAGCAGCTCAGAGTCTATGGGAGTGGATGGCTTATAATGAATTTAAGTGAGCAACAACAACAACAACAGCAGCAACAACAATAATGAGTCATGTCTTCCCCCAAACTGTTACTACTCACGAGTCATTGTGGAGTTGAATAACCTTGTAAGTCTAAATTATATGTGTATGCATACTAGCAGTTTGAAAGCATGCAAATGCGAGTAGATAAATAGGTACCACTTCAGTGGGAAGATAACAATATTCCCACTGTTCTGTGTGGGAAATAGCCATGCTGACCACAGAACCACGGAAATTGTCTTTGGACAACACTGACTCTCTCAGTCAAGAAATGGGAAATGAGCACTGTGTTCTA